TACCTAAAAAGCTAATTCCGCTACTACCCAGTTGTTTACTATGTAATCTTTGTGGAGTAGGTTCTTGCAGTCCATGGATCAGTGATAGTGAGAGTGAGAGGAGTCCTTTGACAGTGTCCACAGATGAAGCCAAAGGGAAATCTTTCTTGCTGTAGCAACCTGTGCCATTTCTCCTCCGTACTCTGGCAAAGTCCTTTTCTCTGACACCTTGGAGGCGAATGGAAAGGAAAGCATTTCACTTTTTCCTTAGTCTGTTCTCCCTAATCCCTCCCTCCTCCAATATTTACTGTGTTCCAAAAGGGTCTCTAAAATCAGTTCATAAGGAATAGGTCAGGATGAAGAGAACATTAAATCATTAAGTGTTCCTATACTTTGCAGCCATTCTGAAGTATTAAAATGAGTACTTCCTTGTAGGTTTAGAGGGTTAAGGCACAGATCTGAGCTACTAATATTTGTCTTACTTTTGTTGGGGAGGTGCGAATCCCTCTAAGAATCTGAGTTGCTCTTTTGAGTGCACGAACCTCGCCTGCAGAATTTCCTTCCCATCTCCCCGCCTGTCCCAAATACAGACTTTGCGTGCTCAGCATTCTGGGTCTCCCCCAGGTTCAGTCCCTGGATGGAAAGGCCTGGCCAGTCTCTGGTGGCAGGTGCTGCCTAGCACAGGGAGGAGAAGCGTTCTGCTCTTCCCAGGTAATACCTGTCTGTTTCGGGGAAGGAAAAATGGCTTCCCTACACCCTTCTAAATTATTTGTCTAGGCCACCAATTAAATGAACATAAGACGGATTAACAGGAGGAAAAAAAAAATCTTAATTACATGTCTATGCATGGGAGTCCCCCAAAAATATGAGACTCAAAGAAGCACCAGAGGAACCTTATATGGCATCCTCAGCTGCGGAAAGGAACGGGATTGGGGCTTCTGGAGGAGGGGTAGAGATAAACTATGGGAGGATGGGGGAGGAAACATGGTGAATAAAGTTTGCCTTTTTATGTAGATAAAAGTCTTTCATGTACTAAAATTTGTCTAGGAGCAGCTCTTTTCCTGATGCAAACTCCTTTATTTTAATGTAAATTTCCTTTATATAATCAATGTAAATTTCTCTTACAAAATGGCAGCTTTTCAGGGCTACTCCTTGTCTACAGTTTCTCAAAGTAATCAGCTTGAAATAGTTAATATGCCAATGAGGCATATTTTAGGGTGGCATATTCTGGTGCTCTGCAGTCATTTTTGGGGTACTGTGTCCTGGCCTCATCATCTGTAAATCTGGTAGGCAGGCGGGCGAGCGGGCGGAATTGGAGCTGGCGTTGCAGGCCCATGGGTGAGGGCGCCTCTGGGACAGGCCTGTCCATGTAGCTCTGTGCATCCTCCACTGTGCCACCCACACTGTGCTGGAACAGATTGCACCCGTTTCCCCCAGGAGCCTGTTCACTGTTGAGTACGTGGATGTTATGCTAGGTCAGTAACCTGAGAAAAACACAGTGATGTTTTGGAACCAGAGTACCCACGGTCTTCTCACCTCATATTCTCCCTGCAACCTCTTGCTTTCCTTTCTCCTCCAAGAAAGATCATTGTGCTGAGAGACATTAGCTATTTCAATGAACATAATTTCTGGATCTCTGCAGGATGTGTTATCTCATCAGTTTATTTATGTGGGATCCGGAATGCTGAGCATATTTTATTAACTGTTTTAGATATAATATAGTAAATGTAGTTTTGAATTTTCACTAAGAATATCCTTTTTATTCTGACCTGGCTGCTGCCTTTTGTTCATAAAAATATGTTATATTCCCATTAAAATGGTTGATGGTTTTGTTTTTTGTTTTCCAGTTATGAAAAACCTCCTCCTGGGCTTATCAAGGTTAGTGTGAAGTTTGTACTCTTGGTTATTCCACTAGACGTACTTACAGACTCAGTAACTTGTTATGAAAAATGGTTGCATGACATTTAAATACCCTTTTATGAAAAGTCTGTTTCTTTCCTGCAGATGACTAAGGGGTCATAATTTTTAGTGTTGTCACAAACCTCTGCCTTTGGGGAAATTTCATCAGCCATGTTTCCCTTCCCTGAGGAACTAATGCAGGCCCACATGGGTTCCTTGGCCATGGCCCCCTTCTCTCTGACTGGAGACAGCATCTTTAAGCTCAGCTGCCTCCTTTTCTTGTCAGCCTTGCTTGGCTCAGTCCCTCAGTCCATCCTGTGTTGGTTTCTTGAGTATCAGCAGCTCAGAGAGCAGTAAAGTCTGAGGAGACCCGACAGCTCATCCAGTCCCGCTCCCCGGTGCAGGTATCCTTCCTGCAGCTCCCTGGCCACAGCACCAGGGTGTGTGCGCATGAGGGAGACTTAGAGTGCCAGGCCACAGCAAAGAAAACTTGCTGTTTCATAACTCTCAATGAAGAAAGATTCTTTGCCAAGCTCAGTGGCACATGCCTATAATCCCAGCACTTTGGGAGGCTGAGGCAGGTGGACCACCTGAGGTCAGGAGTTCAAAATCAGCCTGGGCAACATGGCAAAACACTGTCTCTATTAAAAATACAAAAAAAAAAAAAAATTAGCTGGACGTGGTAGTACACATCTGTAATTCCAGCTACTCAGGAGTCTAAGGCACAAGAATCTCTTGAACCTGGGAGGTGGAGGTTGCAGTGGGCCAACATTGCACTGCTGCACTCCAGCCTGGATAACAGAGCAAGACTCTGTCTCAAAAAAAAAAAAAAAAATTCTTAAAAACCGTCCTTCTATTGAAGTTTAATATTCATGGAAACTTGGAAAAAATTACAGCATGCTTGTGACTGTAAAATATGACAGGGGCCTTCAGGGTATAATAAGCTGTTCTAGCCTAACATGCCCTTTCTGTTATTCCAGGAACCCTGGTTTACTTTAATTCATATATCTTACTTCATTCTACATTTTGAGGTAGTGAAACCTTTTTTAAAAAAACCTTAGAATCTAATTTACATCAAAATTTGGAGCTCACCAGTCATTGCTATATAAGGACAGATTTTTTCTGCTTCACCAGTAACTTCTCTAAGAACAGCTACACTGTTTTTGGTATAGTTCTTCTGGTACATTTGTTTCCTGTTTTTTTGATCAAGTGTGACTGTCTTTCTTTCTAGTTTTGAGGGGTAATTAAGATGACGTTGGCACCCACAGCCCAGGAAAAAGCCAGATGAGGGTGACTCCAAGGGAAGCAGGAGAGAATCCCAGCGCTCTCTTGCCATGCTGTTTACACCTTGTTCCCTTTGTTTAGGAAGATGAGGCTAAGCCAGAAGATTGCATACCAGGTGTACCAGGCTATGAACATGCCAGGGAATTTCTGGCTCATGCGCCAACTAAAGGACTTTGGATGCCACTGGGGAAAGAAGTCAGAGTTATGCAGTGTGAGTGTGGGAGAGTTTCCCTAATCCATGCAACTTTACACGCCGCAATTTACAAAGCATGTTTACTTCTTTTATTTAACTTGTTCTCACCACAGCCCTCTTATAGCCACAGCATGTTCTCCGTCTTCTAGATGAGGACACAGATGTGTGCATGTCAGTAAGTGGTCCCAGAGAAGATGTAGAGCAAAGCTTTGACTGTAGAGTTCCTGATTCCAAGTCCAGCAGTCTTTACTCAGGACTGTCACTGCCTTGGGAGTAAACTCTTTGGTATTATTCCTGTAATAGAAAGGACTTTCTGTGGTGGAAATGCCATGGGAGTGAGGGATGCATTAGAGGACGGGTCTTTTTGGGTCTTGCCTCTGTTGCGTGCTCTCTATCAGTGGTGCTTTGTCCATGTAACTGAGAGAAGCTACCATGGGAGGATGGGTCTACACAGGTAGAACTCTCTGTGCACATGCCCTGCCCCTCCATAGCAGTTAACACATTCGAGAGGGTATGAAATCACTCTTCCATTGGGAGGCTGAGGCGGGTGGATCATGAGGTCAGGAGATCGAGACCATCCTGGCCAACATGATGAAACCCCGTCTCTACCAAAAATACAAAAATTAGCTGGGCATGGTGGCGCGTGACTGTAATCCCAGCTACTCAGGAGGCTGAGGCAGGAGAGTTGCTTGAACCAGGGAGTCAGAGGTGGCAGTGAATTGAGATCACACCACTGCACTCCAGCCTGAAGACAGGTGAGACTCCGTCTTGAAAGAAAAAAAAAAATCACTCTTCCAAATAGTTGAGCTTTTTAAGTTGGTTGTTTTGATGTTTATCTCCACATCTTAACCTCATAGTTGCATTGTTGCTCCATGATTTTTCAGGTTTGGCCATTTTCTGTTGCCTCTGTCCAGTGGAAGATGAGTATGTAATTCTATCTCCTGCTCTCACCACACGTGTACCCTTCTATATCTCATTTTCCCAGTAATTATTGTATCATAAACTTAGTAACATAAGTCTTTGGTATTTACTATGATTATGACCAGAGGTGAGCTGTATCTTGCGAAATGTGTCCACTCAAAATGTGTCCTGTATTTATTGTTTTTCAGCTTTTGTTATTATTATTATTGTTTTTCCTTTCATGTACTGATCTCTAATTCAACCTTAACATTTTTCCAAGCTTCAAACTTAAGACCTTCAATGCATATACTTGAGATGTTCTGTCAATTTCATCTTACTGAAGGTGGCTACTTCCATGCTTATCATCCAGGCATCTCCCTTGACCAATATATGATGGACTGAATGTTTGGGTTCTCCCCATAATTTGAATGATGAAGCCTCATCTCTAATGTGATGACATTTGGAGATGGGGCCTTGTGAATTAATTAAGGTTAAATGAGATCATGAGGTTAGGGCCCTCATGACATGATACCTTTCAAAGAAGAAGTACTGGAGATCACTCTCTCTTGGGCAGGCCCAGGCTCATATACGCATTCTCGCTCTCGCTGTCACTCTGTCCTGTCCTACCCCCACCCCCTTGTGCCATGTGAAGAAAAAGTAAGAGGGCTGCCGTCTCAAGTTAGGAAGAAAGCTCTCACCACAGACCTACCTTGCTGGGACGTGGAACTCAGATTCCAACTCTCCAGAGCTGAGAAAATCAATTTCTGTTGTTTAGGCCACCCGGCACATAGCATTGTTATTATGTCAGCCCAGGTTGAATAAGACACCATCATTCTGCAGGTTCCTTTAGCCTCTCTCTTGTGTTAGATCACCCATTTTCCTGTATCTGGAATGTTCTTTGTTACTATATTCTGTTCTTATGGTGTAATGAATCCTAGGGCAATTTCCTTCCAAATGGGTTTATAGGAGGTAGTTTTTTTTTTTTTTTTTTTTTTTTTGAGACAGGGTCTTGCTCTGTTGCCCAGCCTGGAGTGCTGTGGTACCATCTTGGTTCACTGCAGCCTCGACCTCCTAGACTCAAGTGATCATCCCATTTCTCATCCTCCCAAGTAGCTAGTACTACAGGCATGCACCACCACACCTGGCTAATTTTTTTTTTTTTTTTTTTTTTTTGAGATGGAGTTTCACTGTTGTCACCCAGGCTGGAGTGCAATGGCGCGATCTCGGCTCCCTTCATCCTCCGCCTCCCAGGTTCAAGCGATTCTCCTGTCTCAGCCTCCCGAGTAGGTGGGACTACCAGTGTGTGCCACCACACCCAGCTAATTTTTGTATTTGTTGTAGAAACGGGGTTTCACCATGTTGCCCAGGCTGGTCTCAAACTCCTAGGCTCAAGCAATCCACCCACCTCAGCCTCCCAAAGTGCTGGGATTACAGGTATGAGCCACCATGTCCGGCCCCTGGAATTTTCATTTTATGTTTTTTAATTTGCCAGGATATCAAATTCTAAGTTAAAAGTTAGCTTCCTTTAGATTTTGAAGGCATTGCTTCATTTTCTTGATTTTCTAGAACAGCTATTGGGAAGTCCAAAGCGATTCCAATTTTTGATCTTTTCATAAGGCCTTTATTATTGCTTTGTTTTTTATTTTTCTTCTCTGGAATTTTATAGCATCTTCTCATTCCTGGTGTTCTAAAATTTCACAATGGTGAGCCCTTTCAATCTGGAATGCAGGTCTCAATTTTACGAATTTTAAAAATTCTTTCCTCACCTCTGTGTATGCAGTTCTATTCTTCAGATAGGTACTATCCTTACAGCAGTTAGCCCTGTTCAGGGTAGCAGGAACTACACAAGGGTGTTCTTTTTAGGGATCAACAATTGTTAATTAGGGTCATTTTAGAGAGTGGCTGCCACAGTATTCTTGTTTTTTAGTGAGAGATAAAAAGTTGATTGGTAGCCCTAAGTGCCTAAGTAGGGCTTGTTGATCCCCCATTGCAGGGTGATTTTCTAGGTAATTGGTTGGGGAACATCTGAGTTCAGTTATCTATTGGTTTTTCTTCTTTGAGTGGCTTGTATTTTCCCAGAGAAGGTTCACACATGGAAGGGAAAGTCATTCTGTGAGTGTTCTGGGAGCTGAGTGGAGGGAGTCTGGGAAATCTGTCATTGGTTTTCCATTCATTCGTATGATCCTCTGTGTCTGTTGCCACAACTTCCTTGAGATCCACCTGACGTCTCCGTGGCCAGAGACCCTTTGTTATACCTTTTCCACATGCTAAACAAACTTCTGCCCAGACCAAGGAGAACTGCCTATGGACATTTAACCAATCCTCCTTATTTTAACTGCCCCTTCACCTCCAGAGGTATCTGGTGCTGCCAATTGCTGAGCTTTGGAGGTTCTGCAAGTAGAAACTGAATCAGTTCTCAGATTCTACCCTCTGCTGCCTTAAACTTCAGTTTTCTGGGATCTGCTTTTCTTTTATTATTCATCTATCCGCATTATAACATCCCACATTTTTTTGTATGTGACTCTTTTATGGTTTCCCAGTCCTTCTGTGTTTATGGCTTCTTAAAAAATGTTTTTTTGTGATTTTGGATGCCCTCAAAATCACCCTTAAATAAATGTGTAATGCAGTGACATTTAGTAACTACCAACTGTGTGCAACCATCATCATAAATAAGTGTTAGAACATTTTCATCCCTACCCCTCACCTTAAGATCTCTCAACCCATTTCCAGTTCATACCCATTGATAGCCCTAGGCAACAATTAATCTACTCTCTTAGTGAATTTGGCTTTTCTGGACATATATAAGTGATCTGACTCTTTTCATTTAGCATGTTTTTGAGGTCCAGCAATGGCATCATTTATTATTTCCTTATTCTGCTTATCTTTGGTCTGGGTTACTCTTTTTCCTGATTTTTATGATAAAGACCTAGATTATTGATTGAGACCTTTCTTCTATTATAAGAATTAGAAGCTATAAATTTTCTTTTAACCACTACTTTATCGGCATTGTGTAAATTTTGATATGTTGTGTTTTCTTTGCTTGTTTGTTTGTTTGTTTTTTTGAGATGGAGTTTTGCTCTAGTTGCCCAGGCTGGAGTACAATGGCACGATCTCGGCTCACTGCAAGCTCCGCCTCCCAGGTTCAAGTGATTCTCCTGCCTCAGCTTTCCCAAGTAGCTGGGATTACAGGCATGGACCACTATGCCTGGCTAATTTTGTATTTTTAGTAGAGACAGGGTTTCTACATGTTGGTCAGTCTGGTCTCGAACTCCCAACCTCAGGTGGTCCGCCCGCCTTGGCCTTCCAAAGTGCTGGGATTACAGGTGTGAGCCACCGTGCCAGCCTGTTGTGTTTTAATTTTCTAACATCCCCTTTGACTCATGGATTGGTTACACGTGTGTTACTCAGTCTCTACATATTGGATTCTTCAAATTTCCTTATATTGTTGCTTTGTAATTTGAGTCCATCCTAGTTGGAGAATATACTCTGCATGGTTTAAATCCTTTTAATTATATTAATTCTTGTTTTATGGCCTAATATAGGGTCTCTGGATAATGTTCCATGTTGACTTCAAAAAGTGTTTACTCTATTGTTGGGTGGTAGAGTGTTTCATAAATATCTGTTAGGTTCAGTTGATTTATATTGTTGCTTAAGTCATGTAATTCATTGCTGATCTTCTCTCTAGTTGTTGTATCCATTATTGAATGGAAAGTATTGAAATCTGTGTTATTGTTACATTGTTCTTTTTTTTTTTTTTTTTTTTTGAGATGGCGTCTGAGTGCAGTGGTGTGATCTCCACTCACTGCAAGCTCTGCTTCCCAGGTTCACACCATTCTCCTGCCTCAGCCTCCGAGTAGCTGGGACTACAGGCACCCGCCACCACGTCCGGCTAATTTTTTGTGTGTACTTTTAATAGAGACAGGGTTTCATCGTGTTAGCCAGGATGGTCTCCATCTCCTGAACTCGTGATCCGTCGGACTTATCCTCCCAAAGTCCTGGGATTACAGGTGTGAGCCACCGTGCCCGGCCTATTGTTACATTGTTCTATTTTCCCCTTCAATTCTGTCAGTTTGTGTCTCAACTATCTGGCCCTCTTTTGCTAGGTTACATACATACTTATAAATGTTGTATCTTTTTGATAGATTGACCCTTTTATCAATACAAAATGTCCTTCTTTGTCTCTCTTAACAGTTTTTGTCTTATGGTGTATTTTGTCTGAAATTATTGGAGCAGCTTTAGTTCCCTTTGGATAACTGCAGCATATATTCCCGTTCCATCCTTTTATTGCCAGCCTAATTGTGTCTTTAAATCTACAGTGTGTCACTTATATCCCGCGCTTGGATAGCATTTTTTTTTTTTTTTTTTTTTTTTTTTTGAGACAGGGCCTCTCTGCTGCCCAGGGTGGAGTGCAGTGGCACAATCACAGCGCACTGCAGCCTAGACCACCTAGGCTCAAGCAATCCTCCTACCTCAGCCTTCTGAGTAGCTGGAACCACAGGGGCCAGCCACCATGCCTGGCTAATTTTT